AAGGCACATGGGTGAGTCGCAGGCCTGCCGGCTCCACAGGCCCACTGCCCTCATCCCTGCTTTGAGAGTGTATTTCCGTGTGCCCCCCCGTGGTAGCCGGGGGTGGTTGTTCTGCCTGATATTGAGCCCCAGCTGTCCCCGCTTCTTCCCCAGACCCAAGGAAGGTCACTTTGTGCCCAGGAGGTGTCTAACCTCTTTCCCGACTGTACAGCTGGTTCAGTTTAAGGGATCACCGAACATGCCCAGATGCAGGGGGCAAGCACCCCAGGGAAGATGGGACAAGTGGCCTGGGGAGATAAAGCGAGCAGGAGGATGGGGTCTGCTAGCACTACCGGGACTGCTGGAGCTGCCAGCGTGGGGCACCCAGACCAGCTCTTGGCTGGCCCTGCTGTGGGCGTTCTGACCACGCGCTTGTAGGTGCAGCTACTGTTCATGGCTGTGACCAGCCCCCATGGTTCACAGAAGCCAGCGATGCCCCCGCATGCCACTGATGCTCAGAGCTGCCCACTTTGGCATGTAATGAAGGGGTTTTAGCAGGATCACTGGTGGCCACAGCCACACAGCAGCACCAGAGCATGAGTCCCGGCTGGCAGGGGCATACCTGTGTGCCTGTGCATCTGGCTGTTCATTTGTGCTGTCCAGTGGACGTGTGCACGTGCCCGTGTCAGCATCTCCATCTGTGCTAGGAGTGCTGCAAACAGCTGCATTTTCCTGGGCCCTGTGCTTCCTGCCTAAGCCTTTGCCGCAAGGCTCCCATGCTTCCTGCAGACCCCTGCTTGCCCGGCCTGAGCAGCCCAGTCCTGGCGCAGCACCACCACGCGGTCCCTGTGGCCAGACATAGGAGCGGCGGGAACCGGGGGCTCTGGTGCCAGCTAGGCGCCACTCACTGCACCCCGGGGCCCGCAGGTCTGGCCCCTGCCTGGCGCTGTGACCCACACAGCAAGCACAAGGGCTGAGGAGCCCAGCTGCCTGCCTGCTGCTCAGGTCCCACCCCTGTCAGGCCAGGGGCGATGCATGCTTCTCGCAGGGGCTGTGTGTGCTGGTGGACAAGGCCATGGCCCCGTGCCCCGTTGCAGCCAGCGGGATGTGCTCGTTCCCCATGCCATAGTTTTCGATGCTTTTGTGGCCTTTCCACTTGGTTCCACTTGGCTGGCCAGACATGCGGCTTGCAGGAGCTGCCATCTGCTGCCATTGGCGTGTGTGTGGCTGCAGCTCCCCCAGGGGAATCCACCGGGAGGGGAAGAATGAGGCTCTTGTGCCGTGGGGGCCCCTATGAGTGCAGCCCAGCTGAGAGGGGAAGCTCAGGCACCAGCGTATGGGCTGCAGAGCAGTTGCCTGTGCTGCTGTGACACTGGTGGGGGCACAGGGGCCCCAGGCTGCTCTTGCCCAGCCCACCTCTTGGCACAGGAGCAGCTGAGCCACCCCCACAGCAGTGTGGCTGGAGCTGGCCCAGGCCCAGGGCTCTGGACTCTGGCAGACCGGTCCTCCGAGGAGCTCAGTAGGGCCATGCCTGGTGCAGATACTGGGGACAGGGGCGGAGGCTGGTCCCCAGGGGCTGCAGGTGCCAGTTGTGGGGCCAGGCCCAGTCACAGCGGTGCTGGCCGAGGTAACCCCGTCCTGGCTCCACCTGCAGTTCGCCTCGGCCCAGCCCGGCCGGGCCCCGGGCCCTGAGGAGGCAGGTGCTGGGTGCCGGGGCTCTGGGCCTTGCCTCTGCCTGGAGCAGGGCCACCTCCCTGCCCTATTGAAACCACCCGGCCCGGCGCGCGCTAATCCCGCGGCCCCGTGTGCCGGCGGGGTCCAGCGCTGCGGGGCATCCCGCACCAGCC